TATGATAACTTTTCTAAGGTTTGTAGCTGATCTAGTTAAAAACATTTTATTTAAAATAAAAACTAGTAAAATTAAAAACTAAATTTTCGGCTGCGAACTGCAAGCCTTCATCAGAGTATGTGGCAAGAGTCATTACACCTCTATTTATAATGTTTGTCGTTCCGCTTGATTTCATCTGCTAATATAGAATAACAAGCCGGAAATTCAGTATGTTCATTAGCCGTGTTTTCACTAAGAGTGGAATGTAAAGCCTCTAAGAAAATCCTTTGTTCGTAGTTCTTAACACCCTTTTCTAATATTACAGCATCTGATTTTGCAGCGTTGTGACCAGTGCATTCAGCGTGTTCCTTTATTGTGGAAAAAATTCCCTTTCTAACTCCCGGTTTGTGTTCTAACCACCTTGTCGCCCAACATCTCTTTGATTCACCGATATATGTAAATGGACATTCTCTGCATTTGTATTTGTACACAATAAGCTTTTGTTCTGTCTTCTGACGGTCTTGCAAATATATGCATATATATATATATATACATATATATACATATATTTATATATATATACATATATATATATATATACATATATATATATATATACATATATACATATATATATATATATATGCAGTCGAAAATTTAAAATTTTTAAATTATATATTCCAATTTCTTTTGGTCGTGGCCTTTATTTTGTATAATTAATATATATATATATATTTAAAAAGTTCGTTAAGAAGCTATAGGTCAAACATAGGCTATTTTATCTGAAGAGTGCCACGTTATTTACGTGGTACGAAACTGTATAGTAATAAATATGCCAAACAAAGCTTGCTAAGTTTTATGTGTCTTTCTATTATGCTCTGGTTATCCATTGAGCACTCTATCATTGGTTTTTATAACCCTACACAAACTATTTTATATATATATATATATATATATGTATATATATACATATATATATATATATACATATATACATATATATATATACATATATATATATATATATACATATATATATATATACATATACATATACATATACATATACATATACATA